TTTAGCTCAGTGGCATAAGCGCCTGCCTTGCAAGCAGGCAGTCATGAGTTCGATCCCTGGTACCGATAAAAAGATTTTTTAAAAAAATTGCAAAACCATCTAAAGGAAGCCAGGAAGGCCAGTGCAGAACAGACTCCTGCCTGAGGACAAGTGGGAGAAGACAAGGAGCCCACAGTGACCTAGGAGTCACCCAGCTCAGCAGGCACCGGGACACCAGCTGACAGGCTGGCATAGGAGAGGTGACCCCAGAGAAAGGCAGCAGCTCTGGTGGCTTCTGTGGTCCGTTTGAAGGCCCCAGGAAAGGAGGGACATAGCATGAGAAGACTAAAAGGGGCAGACAAAGGACACCACAGTGGGAAAGAATGCCGGCCCGCCCCAGGACACAGCAACAGAGTGGAAAGCAAGCCAGTGGCAGACACTATTCCAGAAACAAGTATGTCAACTGGAACCCCTGAAGGGTCAGTTTAAAGTCCACCTGTACAAGCCCTGTGGCTTCCAGGTGCCAAATGGAGTAAGGTTTGGATCCCACACGACCTACTACACTGGAATCTCCTCGAGGTGAGAGGCCATCTAGAAGCTGGAGGACCCGGCCCCCCCAGAAGCTGGGGTGCAGGCCTGAGTCTGCCACCTAGGATTTAATGTTTATGTTGCCTAGCAACCCAGTCATCCCGGGAGACTTTAAAAGGATCCCAATGCTTACCCAGTTTCGGTGTAAGGTATACTGGCCCTGGAGCTTGTGTTCCCTCTTCATTCTGATGTTTTATTTAACATCTTATTGGGACCCTCCCCACCCATGTGTGACCACGGAGTGAGACCCTCTCTTACCCCAGAATATACGACAAACCTTGTGGATCCCCAGACGGGAGTTACTGACCTCAACCACTGGATAGCTAAACGCACAGCAAGGCAAGAGTTTGGCCCAACAGCTTGACAGGCACTGTGAGAGCTCTGGCTATAGTGGGGTGGCCCTGTTATCCATCAGCCAGCATCCAAGGCCCTTGGTGCCATCACCATCTGTGCAGAGGCCAAGCCAGCATCTCTGAGAGTCAGGCCCACGAGACACCTTTCAGACTGGACTGACAGAGGGCCACCTCGTCCTGGCTGCGCAGCTGGACTCCAGGGTTCAGAGCTCCCGGTCAGCACAGCATCTGCCCTGGAGGTTTGTTCTTCCTCTTCTGCTCCTTCAGCACTGTCACGCCGAGAATCATTTCATATACCATGTGGTTCGTGAAATCATATCTCTTTTCTCCAGCCAGGCAACTGTGGGCATTACCAGCCTCCCTCCACCAATGACTCAGGTCCCAGAGACACAACTTATGTCCCATGTTATCTGTGTCATACGAAACCCTGGCTGCTCAACTCTAATCCCCACTATTGGAAGGCTGAGGCAGGAGGACTGCAACTTGAGGTCAGCCAGGTGACTAAGCTCTGTCTCAAACAAACAATTTTTTTAAAGGGAGCTGGAGGTGGAGGGCTCATCACACAGGTGCAATGCCCCTCAAAATGCTGAGAATTGGAGATCTGACCTTAAGTGTCCCTTCTTTTCGACCCTAACTGATGGCATTCTGGGCAAGCCAGAAAGAAGACTCCAGGAAACTCTGACCAGCCGGAGTTCCCAATTCATCACAAAACACAGTGCAGATTCAACAACCAGAAGTGAGACAGCTACAAAAGCAAGGCGTTCCCGGAGCAGTGAGCTTCGGACTGAGCTCGCTAGGGCAGGGAGGATTTTAGGGGCTGGGGTACCTTTGGGATGAGAAAGCTACGCAGGGAACCCAGGGCTGGGAGGAGACCTTGGCAAGGGAATGGGAACCTCGCCTGGGGGAGGGTGGGCAAGGGCTGGCACCTCCTGATGACGGTGTGTGTCGACGACCCAGAGTCAGCACTGTACCCCGTGGAGAGCTGGGTCCCCACCAGGTCTGAGTCTGGAACGGCAACAAGGGCCATAGCAGGTGGCAGGGCTGGCCCTCTGAGGTGCAGGGACATGGGATGAGAGAAGGTCCTGGCAGCATGGGTCTCACCGGGGCACAGGGCCACGTGGAGGGAAAGACTCAAGCTACCCAGAAGCTCTAAGCGTTGGGTGTGGGGCGGCGACAGCTGGGGGCCGTTTGCAGAGGTGACAGAAATGAAAGCAAAAAACCAGGAATTTAAAAAAAGAGAAAGAAAAGTTCAGAGAGAAGTTGGATAAGAGGCATTAAAAAAAAAAAAAAAGAAAGAAAAGGAAGCCAGAGCCGCAGTTAGGGGGCACACTCACACCCAGACAGAAGTCGGGGCAGGGCACCCGCAGCACGCAGACTTTATCTTGGGCTTGAGAGAAAAGGGAAGTGTGTTTCACAGATGACACTGTCAGCCTGGGAGACAGACAACCAGCACAGCCTACTGTGACCAAGGCGACCTGCCAACTTCAAGCTTCTTCAACCTCACTATTGTAGAGGATTTCTTCAGATTCTGATGGAAAATCAAGGAGTCACTGGAAGAAGGTTCAGGAACGTCTCAGGAATGAGAAGAGGTGGTATTTTCCATAAACACCCGTGGATTCGCACCCGGCCTTTCCACCGGCCATCAGGACGCTCCACACGGGTCCCTAAGTGCCACTGCTGGGGGCACAGATCAGACTTTAAGAGGACTTCTCAAGTGTCATGACTCAAACTGCAAGTCGCTGCTTTAAAAAGTGCAACTGGCTGGGTGTGGTGGCACACACCTGCAATCCTAGCACTCAGGAGGCTGAGGCAGGAGGATTGCCATGAGTTCAAGGCCATTCTGGGCTACATAGTGAACTCCGTCTCAAAACAAACAACAACAATAAAAACTGCCCCTGCGCCCAGCAGTCACCTCCAGAGGTCACTGCAGAGTCTCCCCATCACCACCTCAGAATTAACACCTGAGGATACCTGCTTACCTGGACAAGAATGCTATCCGACCAGCTGGGCTCTGCCTACACCGCCTGCAGCCTCCCCCAAACCAGACTGGGGCCAAGTTAACCAGGAAAAAGGGCTCCTGGCCCAGCCTGGGGGAAACAAAGGGGCAGCTAGGTACATTCTGGGCTCCCAGGGACCAGTGGTTTCTCCCTAACAGACTATTACCCTCAAGATAACAAACAGGACAATGAGGTGACCCTGGCAACGGGGGGGGGGGGGGCTTTCTGCCCAAGCAAAGCCCGACAGGACAGGCGAGTACCAACAGGACCAGAGTTCATGACCTCAGCCGGCCCTCTGCTGCGAGCCCCCCCCCCCAACTCTGCCACATGTGGATCTCACCAGTCCCCCACTGCCCATGGACCTCATTAGTATCAGAGGAGTCAGGCAGGAAAAGGAGTTGTCCACAGTCAGAGAGGAGCTTCCACATCCTTCTCGGCCTGTAGGGTTCACAGACACGTTCCTGAGGAATGTGACCAAGCCTTGAGTCAGGGTCTAAGTTCCATGCTTCTCGCAGGCTGCTTCCAGTTAATTTTTGGACCCAAAGCGCTGGCTGCACTTTATGCCTTAGGTTAGGTTTTTTTCTTATAAGTTAAGTTTTCTGGGTCAGCTACAGCATCCAGTCACAGATCGCATTTGTTAGTAAACTTGTTAACACACTGTTCTGAATCTCGAACAGACTTTTTCTTAAATTCAGTATCTCTGTACCATTCACTTCATATTTTTCTACTGTACAGCTGATCAGAGAGACAGGTCTGGGCAAAGGAGCCCAAGACTGATTTCAAGTCCAGACTCCAAATTCCCAAAGGATTATGCAACCTGGAAGCACAGTTTGGGATAAAGCCTCCCCAGTGGGGTTCTGTCTAAAATCTAAAGACGTTCACAGACAGCCAGTCCTGCTCTCAAATGCTTTCTGGAATTGATTTCGCCGTGAGCGTTCCGTCAAGGTATGTGCAATCAGCTTTCCCATTTTACAGACAGAGAAATTAAAGCAGAGAGGCCCAGACGCTTGCCCTATCTACCGTAGCCCACAAAGCCAGGGAATTAAAAGTACCGTCTGCCAATGACCTATAAAAATTGACTGACATTATAAAGGGGCTTTATGGACAAATTATTATTAAATAGGAGGATGTTTTGAGGATGATTACTTTAAAATAAGCATCGAGTGGAGCATTTTATGATACTCACTGATAAAGCTGTACAACTCTGAGCATGGGAACAAGACACCAAAGGACAGTCTGGGTGCTGAGGCCATGTGCTGGTTACAGTTGAATTCGGAGCACACAAGGTTAACTGTAGATGTCAGACTTTTCATGCAACATCCAGAAAGGAGGGAAGAAAAGGTGAGTGTGTGGAGGAGGTGGGCAGCGTTTGTGACCCGTGACCTGCCTCCAGCCTCCGGCAGCTCCTGTCATTCGCTATTAAAATTTCCTTGGAGAATACAGAAACCCACACTTTGCAAGATATACACATCTACTCGCTAAACCCCAAAGCATGTCTCTTAGGAGAAGGGAGTAAATACTCTCAGACTCTTTTCTGTACTTGGAAAAAGAAAAAAGAGAGAGAGAGAGAGAGAGAGAGAAAACATAAAACAGAGATGCTTTGAGAGAAAGAGCTGATAAGAGGCAAGCGGTGAAGAGGCTGTGGTTCTGTGTTACTGCCAGCTGCAAATCCGTCTCAGTATTTTCAGAATGCAACACTTAATAATCACTCGCTTTAAATCGGTTTCATTGCAACCCTGGGGCCCTAGCTGTCTGCTGTAATGTAACCAGTGAGGCTACAGGGAATTTATAATAAGTTACTAGAGGCAGAGGGACTTCAAAAGTGCCTGGTGCAAGAGGGGGGGTGTCTCAGCTACAGACACTGGGAGGCTGAAGCAGAAGGACAGTTTGAGCACAGAAGTTCTGGGCCAATCTAAGCAAAACAACCAGACCCAGGATGGCTTTAATACACACACGCACCTGCACACACGCACACACGGTAAGCTCTATAAGTACAGGGAATATTTAAACTTAAAATTTTAGAACAGTAAAAACCAGACTAGCCCTAATTCAGCAGAAGCATTCACGGCATTTTCTTACTCACATTTTTTAGAAAGACACTCAGGAAAGAGATCTTCCAGACCTGCTCCGGAAAGTTGCAAGCACCACGGGCGAAGGGCTGAGTGTCTGAAGCCACAGGGAGGATTGGGGGGAGGGGGGCCTTCACAGCGCTGCGCCTTGCAGGTCACCAACTGTTCTAAGCACCCATTGCAGCTTTCAATCGCGCCACCCACAATCCACCTCCACCCCGCGGCCTAATCGGACAATCTGCGGGTCAGCACTATTTCATGAAGTCCAAATCCTCCATGCTCTACACAGGGGAGAAAAACTCTCCTGAAAACTCAAAACAGCCTCAAGGACACACAGGAGGCCTGGTGGCGAGGTGGGATGCTGACTGCCAAGGACCGAAAGGCTCCTGCCCTGCAGGTTTCCGCGGCTTCGCAAGGCAGGAAAGGCCCCCCGGGGCCTCACTTTCTCCAAACACCATTCATAGGCGCGCAGGCCAAGTGCGTGCAGAGCTAGGGGCGCGGAAAGCATTCAGGCACCTCCTGAGTCTAAGACTTTCGACTTCTTGGAACAATAAACCGAAGCCCGCGGCCCCCTCTCCACCCTGTGGGAAACCGGGGCACCTTCACTTGCAGCGATCTGATAGACAGAGGCTGGGCTCCCGGAGTCCCAGCCCACCCCTTTCTTCCCCGGAGAGCTATGTAAATCCCCCTCGCAGGCTATTCAGAAAGCAGCCGGGCCGCCGGCCCCTACAGGCCTGAATGAATGGGATGACCCTCGCAGCACGCCGCACAAGGTCCTACACGCATCTTTCCCACGAGAGCACTTCCAATTCCGCCCACGCCTTCCGAGCCGGGCTTTTGCAAAATGAAATTCCCAGTGGTGGGAAGCTGCCCCTTGGCAGGTGTTGTCTGGCTCGAGGTTTTTCGGCAAAGATCTGACCACCTCTCTTGCTCTCTTAACGTGGACAGAAACCCAGCACCAATGTGCGGTCCCGGGCCCCGCGCGCGCGCTTCCTTCCCCACCCGCGCCCGAGGTCCACGCCGAGCGGGGTTGCAGCCGGTTTGTGGCCTCGGGGTGGCACCGCCTGCTAGGTCTGGGGAGGCACGTGGGCGTCTGGTGCTCCGGCTGCGCGACGGCGGGCGAGGGGAGCGCGCCTGGCCTCTCGGTCGCTGTCTCCGGCCTCGCGGGCCCCTAGTGGCCCTCCGGAGCCAGCCTTCCTTGGCCGCAACGCCTGGACAATGCGGCGACTCCAGAGAACCCCGACCCCATTCATTCCCTGCACGGCCCGCAGGTTCCCTGGCCACCCTGCGCCTCCCCTCCCTCGCCGCTAGCGCCCCCTGCACCCCAGGATGGCCGCGACGTGGGAGACTCCGGGGCGCGAGGACCCTGAGCCCAGCGCCCGGGGTAACAGGACCCGGTCCCGCGGAGCCCACGTGCCTGAGATGCTCCGGATCGCCGCCCGCTTTGTCCCGGTCCCCACGCCCGCCCGGCGGGGCACGGCTCCGCACTCACCTCTCGGCTGCCCGCGCGCTGCCACCCAGAGCAGCGCCAGCAGGAGCACGCGAGCCATGTCGCCGGCTCCAACCGCGAGCCCCGAGTACCCGCAGGAGCCGCCGCCGCCTTTCCAACAGCCCCGACCCCGCCCAGCCAGGCCGCACCGCCCAGACCCCGCCCCCGTCGCCGCCCGCCCGGCCCCCCCTCGCGGGATCTGCGGAGCGCGCCCCTGACCCGACTGCCCTCGGCCGCTGGCCTGGGGACCGGGAGAGCCAGGCGCAGGCGGCTGCTGCGGGAGCTGCAGAGCGCACGTCTGGTACTGTAATGCACGTTATTTCATGTGGTGATCCCAACTCTATCCCTTGTGTGCCTTTCGAAGTGCCTGGCTCAGGCAAGGAAGGTAAGGAGGACATCACTATTACAGTCATCCTCACGGCCAGAGGACGAGGACTGCAGCTTTCCAACGCTTTGGGCTTTTATTTTTCTCCCCTTTTTTCAAATTATGTCCCGTTTCTGGTTTTTAAAAAAAGTTCTTAAATTTCCTGGTGTTTCCTATGAAAATTTTGGCAACATTTAGCCCAACTGACGTTGGGTTCACAAAAGAATCATCCAAGATAATAAGTTCCTTAATACAGTAAGTCTTATCCTCCACACTCTCATTTTGGCTTTTTTTATTTAATGGGAGATGATTTTATATGAGCTGCCTGCGGATCCCAGGTTTTCTAAGCACGGGTCCTTGAACGAGGAGTGAAATCTAATTACAACGCTTGGCGATTGTTTTTGACACCGTGGAAGGACAGAAGAAAACGGTGGAGCCTGGCGCTTTGAAACCAATGCCAGGCAGCTGAGTGAGCTGGTGTCACTGCTAGTTTTAAATTCAGACATTCCCCACTATGAAAACACAAGGTACAAGTCACCGTGAAGGGTGGTGTGGTAAATGAAGCAGTGTGTGAGGTAGCCCTGTTGTTTAGCTATTGTCTACAGAACTGTTTCTGCACAGAAGTAACTGTGCTTGGGCGCTCATTTATGTCAGGTACCCCCCCGTTTTTTAAAGTGTCTTATACAGATTGTCTCTTGTGTGGTCGCAAATCTGCAAAGTGGGCACATGGTGACCTTTGTGTGGGCAGGAAAAAGTGATTTCATAGGGTAAAGTCCCCACATTAGCAGGCGGACCAGCACCCATTGGTTGTAGCCCAGCATCCGGCAGTATCCTCGGGAAATCGTGGAGGACTGGCCCTGAGTGGAAAGACTCCCTAGAACCTGAATTCCTAGAAATCGGACCTGAGTGTCAGCTGGACCTTGTGTTTAAGCTCCAGGCAGGCAGCTCACCTTTGTGATTTCAAGGACAGCTAGGACTCAGCACCTTGGGGAGTAAGAAACATCAGAAGTTATAGTATGATTTATCATGGCTCAAAGTTAAGCAGAAAGACTTCTAGAAAGAATTCCAGACAGAAGCCCTTGGATAAAATGGAGCGGTAAAAATGTCAGAACATTGCCCTCCATAACCATTCAGCTCAGATTTGCCCATTTTTTAAGCACACTTGGAAAGTACCTAAATTACCCCAATGCCAAGAAAGCCAGGCAGTGTGTTCAGAGCAAGCGGCTGAGGGCAGTGGGCTTGCAGGATGGACGCTGGCCTGTGTCCTCTACCATGCGTCTGTCGGTTTCTGGCTCCCAGGGCTTCTGAACTTCTGAACTTCTGAACCTCGCTTCTCTGCTTCTCTGTAGAGCAGAGATGTGAGGAGTGCCCCTTGCCTGACCCGGTGGGGCTCCTCTCCAGGGTTCTTCCTGGCTTTGCCTTGGATAGCATTCCTCCGAGTGTGCTCCTGGGGAAACCCTCAGCTCTCCAGCTCAGGAGATACCTGTGGGGCGCTCTCCCTGCAGCCGTGTGCTCTCTGCATTATCTTTCCAGGGCTCTGTGGTCACCAGAAAAACCTGGTATAAGACCTCACCCCTCTGTCCACTGCCCCCACCACCCGCTGGCACCTGGCCAGTCCTTGCCTGAGACCTGGTTTGAGGCAGGGACAGCTGAGATTTAGCACCATCCTGAGTTTCCAAGCCTTCCTTCCATGCACAGGCTGTGAAGCCTTCCTGTTCCTTTAAGTACTTCAAGTGGGGTTTATGTCCCTTGAAATTGAGTCCCAGTGTAGCTATTCAACACACTAATACGGTTCCTTTTGCTTCACAGCCCAGCCTAACGCTTTAATGTCAGAAAGCATCTGTGCATCTGCTTTCTAATGTTTACTGATTGTGTAAGGGCCTTGAGTCCTTTACATTTAGGCATCTGAGTTTCTAGGGTATATTTAGCGAACATTTCACACAAGAAAAAGCAGTGGTAACGGCAGGCCTCTTCCCATACCCTTTCCTCCCCATCCCTCCGTCTCTTGATTCCCTCCCCATTTGAAAAGACTTCCCACTTCTTATGACCCTCTTTATTTTGATCTTTAGCTATAAGGCTGGGTTTCCCATATAAGTATAATCACCACACACTGCAATGTGCTAATAAAATTTTTTTCTCTTAGTGCAGGGATCACACCAATAGCAGCTCCCACACTTACTCGACTGGCGAATCTTTGGAAAATTATTTAACTTTCTCTGCTGAGTTTCCTCATCTATAACAGAGGGACAATATAAGACCTACATCAAGAAGTGGGAAGCAAGTGACATGGCGGCCTTGAACACTGCAGAACCAGGCAGGCACTCAGAAATTAGCTGCTTCTGCTGTGGTCGGTGGTTAGGAAGCAGTAACTCAGCTCCGCTGGGACTGTGATTTGGGGCTCGTGGGGGGCCCTGGTGTCCAGGGGCAGATGTGGCCACACAGTGTGGCAAGACAGCTGGATGCAGGAAGAGACAGACTGCCTCTGCCTCCTGTTTACCAAGGAAGAAGGTGGGTGTTCAGGGGAGGGCGGATATTGGGAAAGAGCATCTCTCTGAAAGCCAAGTAGCAAGCGGAGGACCACAAAATCCTCGTCAGCTATATCAAAACTAAAGGGATTAACTTTTTTCTTTTTGGCAGGGGATTGGTCTTTGGGGAACATGGTGAGTTGTTTTTCTTTTATAGAGGAAGAGGAAGCCAAATTGCAGGGGGCTAGAAGACAGCTGCTGGTGGGGACATGTAAACAACATTTGTCCCCTGGACGCTGCAGGACACCCCTGCCTGCTGGGTATCTGGAACCATAAAATCCTGCCATGGGAAAGTTAGGCAGGGAAATCAAAGCTTGCAGTAGGATCAGGGAATCTACCTGAGAGCCTGGAGGAGGGGTTTGGGAGACCACTTGTTACCAGATGTCATGGTATCCTTCTCATCTGCTATGTGAGGGGAGGAGATGCTTGTCAGCCTGTTCCTGGGGCTTCCTGTACTGTCTGTTAACAACTCCAGTTTGTCCCCAGTGAAGGCAAATATCCTTGAGTATTCATTACTTTTGTTTCTCTGAGAGCTGCTTTTCTCTACATTTGATCAAAAAGCTAATTTAGAATCAGATATTATAAACTGGGTTTGATCTAGTGGCGAGGACAACGTTTGAATGTTGAAAAGAAGACATTAGTACTAAGAATTTGGGTTCACAGCCCAGGCGGCCTTCTCCTAGCAGGAGAGATGTCAGCGGGACAGGGGATGCACGTGCAGTACCGCAAGGTCACGTTGCGGTCCTACAGGTGTTAGCTCCTTGGCTTTTACACTCTGTCACATGTGAAAAAGAAATCTGCTTCCAGGAGCAGCAGCTACTGTACCGTCTCCAGCGCGTGATGGTAATAAAGTGACTTCGGTCTGAGTCTTCACGCAGTGCTTCGCAGCCTTTGTCTGGCTTATTCTGAGTAAGTCTGTAACTCCTCCACTCCTCCCTAAGTATCTTGGTGGCTGCAAGTCCACGGTGACACTTCAGGGCCCCTGCTGCTCAGGGGCATGACAAGGACAGTAGAATTGCCTGGGTCCAGTGCCACACTGCTTGCCTCCCTCAGAGCAAGCCTGTCGGACCTCAGGGGCATCACCCTCTGCCATGGTGCCCAGCTTCCTCCCTCCTCCTGGGAGTCCCCACTGTCTGTCCAGAGCGTCTCCCCCCAGGTCCCCTTCCCCTTCCTCCAGGGAGTCAGGAAACACTTTGTGCCACCGATGTGCTTTGTCCTACGATCTCTGCTGCAGCATCTGATTGATTTTATTAACATGCTTTTCCTGTTACACAGAGAACTTGTGCTCCTTCTCACTCACTTGGCCCTGACACCTGCCCCCGTGTCTGAAGCCGGATGAGCACTTATGGACGGGGACCATGTGCTGCTGGGTGCAGGTGTGTGTTTTCCGTCTCTGGCTATGCCAAGCATGAAACATCTCCAAGTGCTCTCCTATTTCTGGGGTGACAGAAAGTAATGTGACCTACAAAGTATAAACAAACAATTCCGAGTTACAAATGACAAAAGCTGACTCTGGCCTCTTCTACAAAGGCAAGTGAGTTGGAAAGATAACAGAGTGACAGGGAACAAAGGGTCCACCGAATCCACAGGGCCCTGGAAGACAGAGCTTGGAAAATACACAGGCACAAGAGAGCCACAGATGTTAGGCAGCAGACTCCTCGGCCAAGGTCACCTGCCGGGGCAGACAGCGCGGTGGGAGCTGCCTGACCTTCGGAGGCTCCTGCATCTTTGTTCACTAGCACAGGGTTCAAAGCCTGGGAATCAGACACTGCCAGCTGGCTGATATTGGGAGACCAAAGCATGTACCCCTTCTTGTTGATAAGAAGAATTGGGAGCAAGAAAGAAGTGGAGTCTCCCGCAATGGGGAGTCCTCCCCAGAGAGAGAAGCACACGAGGAGGAGGAGGAGGACACATCCGCAGGAGGCAGCCAGGGACTGAGACTCTCACAGTCATGGAGGACGAGCAGAGTTGGTCCTCGCTCTGTGCACTTCTCAGCTCAGACTCAAGTCCCCAAGGGTGGCAAGTGCCACCTCGCTGAGGACATGGCCATGTAGTTAGGCCGTCAAGAGTTGCATCGGTGCTGAACTATGCAGATCATGCTCCTTGTTTTAGTCCCCAAACGCTGCACGGCAAAGGTGCCCCTGGCATTTACAATGTATTCAATAGCATAAGTAACCTTTAGGCAGGTGGAAGTGTACAGGAGGATGGATATAGGTTATATGCGAATGCCACACCAGCTTATGGGACAGACTCAGGTTTGGGTCCACAGGTGACATTAGAGGTCCTGGAGCCAGTCCCCCATGGGTACTGAGACACTGCTATGATTGGGAAAGGAAGAACAAAATGCAGAAGGCTGTGGCAAACAGGTGAGGTGGGGAAAGAGACTCACCGGAAGTTAGGATGGAGGACAGCCACGGTCATGCTGTCTGGAACATGAATCAAGCTGGCGTCGCCTATCAGCCCCAGCCTGAAAGCTAAGGAGTTTCTCCCCTTCCCTGCAGCCTGCACTTGGGGCAAGCCAGGCACCTCAGGCAGCAACCATAAGAGACAGGTGATGGAGCCCAGAGGTGGCGAGCACTTTACTTCCTGTGGGTTGACCTTTGGTTTATGAGAATGCAAAGGTGGGGAGGTCGGCCCGGGAAACCCCATTCTCCATAGCATGTGCTGCCCACAGACCCTGGCAGCCCCTGGAGCAGCCTCAATTAGGGAGTATCTGGGGGCATCTTCCCAGCTCCATCGGGCTTCCCCAGTGCCAACCGTAGTCATGCCAGTGCAGCAGTGGGGCTCTGGCTGCCTCCTGCCTCTCTCCCTCTCCTCCCCATCTTCTTCATTGCCATGGATTTGCAATTCTCAGATAAAGCACCCACATGTTAATGGTCACGCTGGAATCTGTTTCTGGAGACTCTTGGCTAAGGAGTGGGGAGTGGGGACCAGGCTTGGAGACCCGGGTGAGGCTCCCGCTGTGCAGACTGAAGACACCAAGGTGAGGAGCTTGGACTCAAAGCAGAAGCAGTGGGAAATTATGGAAAAGGATCTCTTTTTTTCCATAGGAAAAATCTCCCAGCAGTGAGCAGAGTGGAATCAAAGGCAGGAGTCTTTTTTAATAATGTGGGTTGAGGAGAGGAAGGAGGCCTGAACAGGACAGGGTCGTGGGAATGGAGGATGGAGAATAAAGAGACTGCAGAGAAGAGACTCCCTCCGCTCACAAATTGGATACAGATGAGAGCGGAGAGTGGGGGTTTGACCGTTTCTTCCTGAGAATGAAAACACTGAGCTAGGAAGGTGCACAGGCGGAGAGGACGCCGAGCGTGGCTTTGATGATACCCGAGTCACTGACCGTGGAGCAGCAGCAGTGGCAAATTCAACACAGACTGCAACTGAAGACCCAGCCAAGAAGAGCTCAGGCTCCTCTGTGTGATTGCACACGGAGGCCGAGGGGCTGCAGGACACCAAGGTAAGGCAGGGGCTCCTGGGCAGAGGGAGGCGTCTGTGCAAGGGCGTCCGGGGTGGGGCCGGGGCAGGCAGAGCTGGAAGGCAAAGGACAGAGGCGGAAAGGTGGCCAGAAAGTTACCGAACGTGCGAGCAATGCTCTACAGCACGATGCACGGCACCACACCAGCTGCTCGGTGCTCACCTCCAGGTGAAAAAACAAGGGAGGCTTGGAGACACAGACTGTCCTGAGACAGGTCGCACAGCTGGAAAGCGTCTCAGTCCATATGCTGCGGTTATAACGCAGCCCAGGTTCTATTGCTGTATCCCAGCTGTCCTTTACCAAAGCAGAAGTTCCCTTTTGGGCATGCTTCTGGAGGCTGCAAGTTCAGGGGCAAGGCTGGCGAGGCTCAGGCCATGTCTACTCCCAGCAGAGAGTGGAGGGGTGAGCAGGTGCCCGAGGAGGGCACCAAACACTCCGTGCCCTTTCTTGGTGACCACCCACACCTCCTATGGGATGAGCATCTGCAGCATCCTCACCACTTTCAAGCTCTGCCAGCAAAACACAGTCAGATTTCTCCGTGAGTTTCGGGAGGGAAAATCCACCGTGGAACCACAGCCCCAGCTGTCCGCTTCTGCAGTGTCACAGAGCACCCCCAGATTCAGAGTCACATTGTTTATTTTCACCCAAATGATGCTGTGGGTTGGCAGTGGGGCGGCCTTCTGGGGGTGCTTTCATGTCAACTCCGGGCTAAGGAGCCGGTGATATTGGGGCCACAGCTGCAATGCAGGCCCCTGACACACAGGCACCCACCACAGGCAGAGAGAGCTGAGGGACCGAGAAGAAATTCATCATTAGAATTAGGACAAAATATTCCAAATAACAGGAATGAGGCAAACACACTGAGCAGGGTAGAAGGCTCCTAATAATGACAGCAACTGTCAGAGCTACAGCTACCAGAGCTTGCCACAGGCCAGACATGACATGAGGGCCTCCGGGCCTTCTCCCTGACTCCCAGGGCACCTGGATGAGATAGCTATGCTTGCTGGTGGGAGCTATCAACCAGGAAGCAGGCACAGTCCCTAAACTACAGTGAAACCAGGTAGAGGGGAACCGAGTTTGGAATTTAGAACAAAGGCTTGTGGTCCTGTTTTCATTAATAGAAAGACCAAAAAAATAATGTGCAAGTAAAGAGGGCAAGAATTGTGAGCTACAGAATAGAAAAGGAAATCAAAGCAGGTCCCAAAGGAGCTAGTGAAACATCAGTATGAGGATTACACAATCATCTGTGAAATGGGAGAATCAAAGCCACGCACGTGCCAGGGTGCATGGTCAGGCTAATGCCAGCTCGCATGGCAGACACGCAGGGCTGGAAACCTCCCAGACGCCTCTGTCAAGCCCTGCGGGGCGGAGGCAGGCTGTGTTCACCGATGCTGCCAGACACCTACCTGGCTGTTAGTCAGCTCTGGTGGTCGCGATCCTGAGGCAGGACAGGAAGGAGCCTGAAGTCGTTTACACTGCATCCAGTTAGCTGGACATTGTTAAGAAAGCGCCAGAGCGTGTGCCTGTGGTGGAGGAGAACCAGGGACGGTGAGAGGATCACAACTCTGCTGTAGGTCAGGCTGCGACGTGGATGGGAGACTAAAGAGCAGGCACCCAGCTTCGGGATTCCCCACGGAGCAGAGTGAGGAGGAGAGGGAAAGAAGGGAGGCAGGGAAGGGAGGATCAGGCACCCTAGGCAATCAGGACATCCCCACATCTGGCACCCACCCACTGAGAGGCAGTAGAGAGCAAGGTACAGAGGTGCAGTCCTGTGACCCCAGCACTCTGGGGAGGCGGAGGCAGGGGGACTGCAGGTCCTAGGTCAGCCACTACATCGTAGAGACTTAAGACCCCATCTGGGGGGCTTTTTAAAAATGGAAGAGGAGTGCAGCTCAGTGTGAATTCCCTGAGTTAAGGGCCCAGTACTGGGGGGAGGGGAGAAAGCTGCAAACAGGAGTGCCAATTATTAACACAGTGTGGGGTTCCTCGAGGGCCTAGTCAGGAGACTGTCCCTTCCTTCTGACCTGTGCCATCTCCATCCTGTGCCTCCCACTTGAGGATGGGATGAGAGCTTCTCAAAGGGCAGAAAGACCATCAGAAGGAGGTGAGTCATGCGACCTCTGTGTTTTGCCTAGCGCACAGAGAGGCCACTTCCAAAAGCAAGCATTTCTGCCATCAAGGCACACAGACTAGGCTCATCTTCGCAATAATTCCGCGGTGGGTCTGGCTGTCAGGGCTTCCTACAACTAAGACTAAACCGAAAAGTGCTATGGGCTACATAGTTTTCATTTCTTCTGAAAGAAAGCATGTGTGTGCAGAGAACAATACTGAGGTATAAATAAATTCAAAAGTGAATTTATCATCTTCCATGTGTTACCAGCACGGCAGACAGTACCTTTCATTACAGGGCAGAGCGGTTGTGTGTTTATTAACTTAGCTTCCCTGAATGAAAGAGGCTGAGATAAGGAAGACAGCATGTTTGTTTTTGATTACCCACATTCCTAAGGTGCTCAGGGCCTGCAGACCCTGAGAATGCACTGATTACTGTTGTATCAGATTATCTGTTTTAAGGCAGATAGCAGGTCTCAACTCACTGATGCCCAGATTCTTCACCAAGGACTAGGACTGCACGGCACAGCTGTTGGTCCACCAGGCAAACTGATGACCCAGCAATCCAGCCGTGGCCCACTTTCAAGAGAGCCACTGGTTGAAGGCAGACCTCTTCAATTTCAGAGCTTCTTCCTTTGGAGAAGGAAGCAGAACCCCGGAAGGAGCGGGGAAAGGCGTTTCAGACACAGAGCAGGGTGTGCGCTGCCTCCCTGAGAACGGGGTCATAAGCCAGAAGGCCAGCAGCCGAGGACTGAAAATAAAATCGCCCGAATGGAGGGCAGGGTCAGGCAGTTTAATCGAGGTCACACGCCACATGTGCTGGTCACAGTGTCATAACTTGATCTCTTCCCTGGGTTTGCTGCTCACTGAGCTGGGAGAGTTTGCTTAGTATGTGGGTTTTCAGTCAAGAGCTGTTCTGCGTTCACATTATGATGAACAGGGCAGTCTAATTACTAATTACGAGAGATTATATATGATTTATTTTATTTTACTTTATTTTTTTGGAACCAGGAATCAAACCAGGACCTTGTGCTAAGCAGGCAGACGATATGCCACTGAGCTTCTTCCCTGGCCTGATTAATTTTGGTAAGAGCAGCTTTTCTCTCTAAAGTTTGCATAGGGAGGGCCCCAGGCAGAAGGCACTGGTGGCTGGAGCCCTGCTTTCTTCTTGCTAACAAAGCCTGCCTTTAATCTAGGTTTCAGGGAGGCATGCCGATCTGCACATCAGGCAGTTTCTCCCTCGGGGGTGAACATGCTCTCTGCAGAGGGCTGGCTTAGTTAAAGGCTTCTGGCCCAATTTTTGCCTGAATCTGTACCTCTGAAGTGTTTCTGATACACTAGAGCTGATTTTTTAAAAATATGGTGCATGTTTAAATTTTTTAAAAAATTCTATTACAGCCTGCTGTGGTGGTACACACCTGTAATCATAGCACTTGGGAAGCTGAGACAGGAGGATCATGGTGAGTTTGAGGCCAGCCTGGGCTCCATAGCAAGACCTATCTCAAAAAAGAAAAACAAAAAACCAAAAAACCCAATTACAGTAAGAAGCACGTTGCCATCTGTCCTCCTCGTGTGGAGCACCCTTATCCCACCCTCTTTGCCACTTGCAGAAGTGGTGTGGGAGGTCTTCCTTCTTGCATCTTAGTTGTTCTGTTGTTGCTGTCTTGATGTCCTGAATCGATTCAGAAACACTTGCCGCAACTTTTCTCTCTCTCTCTCTCTTTTTTTTTTCTTTTTCCTTTTTTTTATCGGTACCGGGGATTGAACTCACGACTGCCTGCTTACAAGGCAGGCGCTTATGCCGCTGAGCTAAATCCCCAGCCCAACTTTTGTTAATAAAACGTCGCCGTGTGTCCTCATCCACCTTGTCCACCAGGCCTGGCGCCCAGCTGTTCTGGGTCTTCCCCCAGATCAAGATGGCCGTGAAAGGGGAACCTTCTGAGTGGATTCAGGACATCAGGGCAGCCACCACTGCACGACACAGGACCTTCGGGAAACAGGAGGTCTGGAAGCACTTCAGAAGGTGACAGGAATGATGGGCTAGGTGTGTTCTAAAGAAGGGGGGCTGGTGTGATCTAAGGAAGGGGGGCTGGTGTGTTCACAGGAAGAGGGGCTGGTGTGTTCACAGGAGGGGGGCTGGTGTGTTCTAAGGAAAGGGGGGCTGGTGTGTCCAGAGACAATTTGCAGTGTACACGAGGCACTGAACATCTGTGGTGCTGGTGTCCTGTGAGTCCTGGAACCATCATCGCCTGCATTGTCCCTGGTTCTACTGAGGCCACCACGTGGCTTTTCTTCTAGAAGCCTCCCAGTGTGTTAAACTGACCTTGTATTTCTTGGATAAACTCCATTTAGCCATATCGCAGTCTGCATTTGATGCGTTACTGCACTCACCCTGTGGCAGTTTGTTAAGGAATTTTGTGTCTCTCTGGAGGAGCTGCTTCTGTTCTGTTGCTGTAATGCTTCTCGTGGTGATATTAAGATGTTCCTGCCTTATTAACTTCGTTCTGCCTCTTTTGCTATCTGGAGGACTTTGCACAGAAAAGATGGTGGTATTTCTGAGTTAAATGTTTGGTTTAATTCACCAGCAAAGTCATAGGAGCAAACATTCTTGAGAATGTTTTAAACTTTAAATTTCATTATTAATAGAAGATGATTGAAGTTACGTATTTTTGCTTGAATAGTTTATGCCCTTTAAGACAAAATGGAAAGATAAAGAAGATCCGAAATGCATAATAAATATTGTGAGAAGAAAGAGAAAGAAACTGCTCAAAAGGAAAGAACATCTGAGACAGGGAAAAGGGAAAGGGAAGAAGGGAAAAGATTGCACGCACACAGGTGGACAGATGTGTGTGTGTGTGTGTGTACATACACAGGGCAGACAACTATACTGCTAATCCGTTAGTTCATCAAAAAGACCAGTTTGTGCTTTCAATGTTTGCTTGTTTGATCATTTTTATGCCTAAATCTTATAATCTGAACTGCTTTGAAGATAGCAATATGCAATATATTAACTAGCATTAATTTCCTATTACTTTGTTTTGAAATTCTGTATCATTTTTATCTTTTTTTCTGTTTTTTTTTTTTTTTTTCAAAAGAAAAAAGTAAAGAACAAAAAAGAAATTTGTCTATTTCCTTAAAGCTGCAATTTGGGGGCATAAAATTATTCACATTAATTCCATTGTCTTTGTTTTACTGCTGATAGATTTTGTAGGTATACACCTCTCTCATCTGTGATGCCACTCATTCGTTTTCTCTCTGTAAAAAATCAGTCAGCTTAGAGTTTTTCCTGTTCACTTATCTTTTCAAAGAATCATCTTTCAGTTTCCTTGATTTTTTTCTATCACTTTACTTCCTTCTCTGGGACTCATTTTATTCTTTATTTTCCTATCCTTCTGCTTATTTTGCTTTAAATTCTTCTTCTTTTCATGATTCACTTAGGTGGGGAGTTGGGTTATTGATTCAAGACCTCCCGTGTTCTGTCACAAGCATTTAGCTGTAAACGTGGACCCCAGCACTGTTCCAGGGCAGCTCACGTTGTTCTGTTTTGAGTTCATCTCTTTGCCTTTGGGCTATTTGGAAGCACATTGTTTAATTTCTAAATATTTGAGTATTTTCCAGATATCTCTTTGTTGTTGGTTTCTAGTTTATTTCAACATAGTTTGCTCTCTCCTGGTTTCTGTGGCTGCACTTTTTCATAGTTATGGAGGCTGTTTTGTGGGCCATTTTGGAAATGCTGTGTGCGCGCTAGGGGGTGGGCTGACCCCTGCCAGTTAGCATGACAGGCACCAGTGCTGGCTGTACTTGCCGGTCTTGACTCACTGTTGGCTCGTTCTGTTAATTATTGGAGAGAAAGCATTGACATGCCCAGCTAGAGCGTGGAATTACCAGGCTTCCCTCCTCTCTGTTGAAAGCCTTGGGTTAGGAGTGCAGAGACGCGTGGCTCTTACTTCCTCTGAGAGACCTGCCTGCCTCGGCATGGTGAACTGCCCACTCGGTGCCCACTCAGATCTCCTGAGAGCTCTGCATTGGCTGAGATTAGCATGAAGTATATCGTTTGGCTTGTGGGGAGCTCATCCATGTGCCTAACATCTTGTTTTGCTGATCTGCTGGTGGGGCATTTTCTCAGCCTGGATTTGTTTGAATAATTTGTTTCATTTTCCTTGTTTAAACATAATTTCCTTGGGAATAGAATTCCAGGTTGACAGCTGTTTTATTTCAGAACTTTAAAGGCTTTGCCGTCTTCTCCCTTAAAAATGTTCCAATGAGGATCTGCTATAACTCTTGTCTTTGTTCTTCTGTATGTAATGTATCCTGATTTCCCCCCTTGCATTCACAATTTTGTCTTTATTGCTGGCTTTCTGCAGCTTCTGACTATGATGTATCTTTTTTTTAAATGTGGTTATTCTGTTTGGGGTTCATTGAGATTCCTAAATGTTTTGTGGATAATTCCATCAAAGTGGGACAATTTGGACCACTTTTTCTTCAAGTATTTTAATATTCTCCCTGTTTTTGTTCTTTTTCTAGGACTCAGACGGCATGCATGTTATCAGTATGACATTGCCCTCCAGGGCACGGATTCTTTGTGACTATTTTAGTTTCTTCTTTCCTTACCTTTGTATAGTTTCTGTTGGCCTATGTGTTTGCTGGCCCTTCTGCTGGTAATCTGCTGTCTAATCTGCTGGTAATCCCATTTGGATAACGTATTTTTCATGTCTAGGAATTCCACTTGGATCTTTTCATGACACCCATCTCTCTTTATCAGTTCATCTCCCCTGTATTCCTCTGAGCACACTAAGCATTTGGGCACAATCTCCTACCTTGCCGTTTCTCTACCTGTTTCTATTATGTTTTCCTTTTTTGAATTATAGGTCATATCTTCCTTGTTCTTTGTATACCTGGTAAATTTTAAATGGAGTTATTGTGTGGTTTGCTCTGTTTTGTGTCAGATTTTGTTAGGTTGCTTCAAATTATGTGCTGGTTTTGTTTGACATAAGCCCCTTAGGATGGGCTGAACCTTGTCAAGATTTGCTTTCAAGCTCTTCAGGGCACCCCAGAGCAGCCTACAGTGCACACGGGGCATTGATCTTGGTTCATAAGAGGAACTGATCTGGTTTTCCTTACTCTCTGAAAAAGAACGGAAGGAAGCAGGCTCACAGTCCCAGCCTTCACACACTGCTGTGGACAGGACGCCGAAAGTGTGTAGCCACCTGTGACCTCCACACGCAGGTTGGCACCTGACACATGTGGTGTGGAGTCAGCTAGATCAGACGCTGCACCTGGGGCAAAGCTGCTGTGTTAGACGACCTGCAATCAGCTCCTTCTGGGCTTCTTCTATGGGATATGCACTTTTAAAATGGTTTAAACAAATCTTAGCCCTATTTTCTGTTATTTGCTGCCAAACCATCTTGACACCTACTTCCTAACCTGATCAATCATCAGGTTTTTGCCAGTTTTTGGTTCTGCTAGGTTGTTTGACCAATGTGATTTCTCGAAAGTTGAGCTGAATAAAATCATTTGAGTGAGACACTTGGGAAGATTATAGATCCAGGCACGTTACCTGGCTCCTACCTGGAACGCGTTCTTGTGGGAGAAAACCAAGGGTCAGAGCTAACAACTAAAGGAACAGGAGAATGCATGCATAAAAGACGAAAAATAAAGGAGGCGGTTAATCAGTAACCGAGTGAACCCTGTTTAATCTTTGCATCGGTGGACTCACTGGGTGACACTGAATGAGGTGACTGCAAACGAAACTCCACTGCATTACCTGGGTCAGTCAGTTTCAAATGTGCATATTTTTAAATCAAGTGAGTGAGCAAAATGACAGAAAAATGCATAACCCTCCCCCTATAAGTTTAGTCAAAATAATAATTTATTTTTACTGCAAATATGTATTGGCATGATCATGCAACTAAATGTTTATGTAGATAAAGGTACACATAGCTGGGTAACCCATCTGGACACAGCCAGGCTCAAGTGTGTTTCCTTTAGCTACTCCTGTTTTTATTTCCATTAGTGGGAAAATGCTAAGGAAATAAAAGATAAAAATTTTGTTTCAGAACTCATTACTCATAGTGTTTTCTAAATTAGGTCATAGGCAAGTATATAATTCATTTTCAGAAACTGTGATCCTTTTCAGGAAAAAAAATTCTGCTAGCAGAAACCCCGAGAGTTGGTCTTCGCTTGTCTGAAGAATCTAACCTAACAATGCCCCTTCTTTTCCTGTGTGCATAACTGGTTGAGACATGTCTGGGAATGGGATTTAGACACCATGAAAGCATGACAAAGGATCCCCAGAGCCATGAGCACAGTGAAACAATTTCCCAACACCTGAGGACCAAAGAGAGTTATGCACACCGCTGTGACATCCCGGAAGGCCTGGACAGGGGGACAGAGTCCGTCGGTGCTGGCAGGAAAGGGTTAGCAGGACACAAGGAGACAGGCCTTGAAGTGGTCACCTCTGACAAGCATGGGTGAAATGCAGGGGGCCACTCTTGCCCTCCAGCAATTTTAGGGGGAAGACAAAACACTGGAGAACAATTCGCTTCCCAGAGGCACGCTAACCCTCTGACTTGAGCTATGTTCTCTAACATCCAGAAGAGCTCTTTGCTTTTGAGAACAGGAGAGAGAGAGATGGGCAGGGTCAGCCTGGTCCTGTCCATGTAGACTCACTGGTGAGGTCAGCAGTTCTCACAGAGTCCTCAGCTATGGCTCCCACCTTGCCCCACTTTTAATTGGGAAAAATGCAGATCCAGGCCAGCTGGGCCCAGTACAAGAGCATGCGGGGCCAGGCCGTGCTGGGCAGCAAAAGTTCTCCACCATGCTTCATGGTCCTTGGTGGTCTGCAGTCTTTCCCCACTCCCTGCCTCCTGCGGAACCAGCTGAGTGCCCGGGACCAGCATCCCTGGTTCACAGATGAAAAAGCTGAGGTCCAGTGGGTCCCCAGCAGCCGAGCTCTTTGCAGAGTAAAGTCCTCCTATGGGATTTCATGACTGTGCAGCACCTGACTGCAAATCTAGCAGCTGATGGTAACTCTCATTGCGGAGGCCAGGGCTCTGGGTCTGAGGTCTGGGTGGTCTGTTTCGTGTGCTCTGGGAACGGTGGGGAGCAGCTCTCCAGCTCTTTGGCTGCACTCAGCTCCTCACTGCTGGGGCAAAGGTTCCCACCTCCAGGCAGTACCAGTACTGTGCTGGCCAAGGGGGCTGTCAGGTCCTAGAAGCCACACCCTGGTCCTGCTCCTGGAGGACAGACTTGGTCCCTTTTGACACCAAGACCGCAGCAGGGTGCCTTTCTCAGCTTCACCCTGACTGCCCTTCCTCCCAGCACCCCAGGAAAGGCGCTGGGTCTAAAGTTTAGGATGAGAGTTAGGCCGTCTCAGTTAGTTGCTCTGTGGCTTTAGATAGCTTCGTTACGTCTCATATTCCATCTCCACCACAAGAGCAAAGGCTCCCAAGCACCATTCTTTTCTAAATTATACTTCTTAATTTTTAAATGAATGTGATCATTGTACCTCTTTATGGGCTACGCAGTGCTAACTCGATACCTTTCTGCAGTGTGTTTGGATCAAGTCAGGGCAGTGAGCACTTCCCGCTCCTTATCATCTCTGTATGCTCAGAGAGCTCAAGGCCTCCTCTCCTGGTTTTTCAGATAGCATACAGTAGGCGGTGAGTCACAGCCATCCGCTGTGCCTCGGAAGGTTACGATCTGCCCCTCCTCTCACTCTGGGTTCCGGCAGCTGTTTTCTGACCTCCTTCTACCGTTTCCCCTCTCTCCCTCCTGGCCCGTGGCAGTCACTATTCTCTTCTACATTGAGATCCACTTTTCCAGCTCCTGCATATGAGAGGGACATGCAGTGTTTGTCATTTGTGTCTGGCTTATTGCACTTGACATTCTGTCCTCTAGTTCCAGCTAGGATTAGTCTGAGCATTCCACAGTGATGAGCAGGGTCATACTGGAGGCCGGATGTGGGGTGGGGAGAGACAGACAGATAGATAAATAGATAGATAGAAAGAGAGAGAGAGAGAGAGAGAGAGAGAGAGAGAGACAGGGACAGAGACAGAGAGCACCAGGCTCCAGCGACATCCATGCTTGGGTTGCTGATGGAGGTCAGTGTGTGGAGAATTATCACAAGGCAAAGACAAAAAAAGAGAGAGAAGGAGAGAAGGAGGAGCTCAGGCTTCCCTTGGAAGGGCAGCAGGGCTGGAGACTTGGAGTACAAGACCTTCGGTGCCCAGCTCCTTGTACGCCACCGATGGGACCTAGGAGCTCTGTGATCACCACATTCTGTCTGGGAAGAGCCGGATGGAGGATTAATTCTCCCTTTCCTTACTGGGAACCAAGGCTTTCTGAGCCACGCTGCTCTTCTGCCTTTCCCACCTGGAAAGCATCTTTTACGTTCAGCCTCTGCTCTTTGCATTTCTGCAAAACTCACCTCCTTGCTGCTCTTACCAGTGGACTGTACATGGCTCCCCAAGCTTGGCTCTCAGGGAGCCCTTTAGCACACAGGTTCACAAACCTCTCCAGACACAGACTATTTCGTGGCATTTTCATGAAAGTGCTAATGGGAAGCACGTTTTATTATTTTAACATTTCTTGTTACATATCACTACTAAATCTCCACTGCTTATTAAAAATAATAACTAACAGATGCCAGAGTGACTGGGTTAAATGACAAATGACACTGCGCTTGGAATAAGGCCAGACTTCACCCCCTAGACTGTCCTCTTTGCAGATGCTCAGTACAGTCCAGGGACCTTTGCCAAGGCCCTCCTGTTCTGAACAGGGCACTACAAACGCGGGGCTCCATGTGGGTCCGGTGGGTTTGGTAATTCACCGGAACAGCTCAGAGAACTCAGCAGAGCTGTGGGGGCAGGGCTGCGGCTTTTGTATAACAACAGGACCCCAGTCGGAAGCAGCCTGAGGAGCAGACCAGAGGTGAGGGCTGGGTCTCTCAGGGACTGTCCCTGCTCTCCGCTCCCACTGCGCTCCCGTACAAAGGACAGATGTCACGCGAAAGTAGCGTGAGCTGACAACACACAGAATCTGCCTGCCCTACTCGAGCTCAGCAGCACAGCCCGGTCTTCGTTTCCCTTGTGATCGCGTGGCTGTCCCTGCCCTGCACCCTAAGAAACCTGGACCACAGACCATGAGCTGGAGAAAGAGCGAAATTCATAATTAAAGTCCAGTTTCTCCTGAATGTGTGTCATTCTGACACCACCACAAGGCCAAACACTGCGAGCTGGGCCTCCATGTTGGACGCCATCTGTGACCCTGGCTGGGGACGCTGAGCCAAGTGCCAGTGGTGGCAGAGCTCTGGTGGTGTGCTGTGTGTGTCAGATGGGGTCACTGTCCGCACCCCTGCCCCAGCCTCCCGCCCTTCCCGGAGGCCATGGGTCCAGGGCCACACCTCCAGTCTGGGCTTTCTGGTGTGGCAGTCACCTGGTTGGTGGGAATTAAGAGGTCCCGCTGTGACTCAGCTTGGAGGCAAAAGTGCTCTTCTGCATCCGTTGTGCTCCTGTGGCCACCCGGGAACAGCAAAAGACACCCTGTCACCCAGGAAATGTCACAGAGGTGCCACCTAGGCACAGAGACCAAGGTCAGCCAGATTCTCTTCCACACTTAGGGTAAAACGTAAGATGCCCCAAACGTCACACTCTGAGGACAAATCCGGCACATGGCTGTCCAGTGCTCCTTTCAGCTCCGATGACTCTATTAGTCCCAGCAACCTCTGAGACACACGGACACTTGGCTGACACTTGCTGGACCTCACAAATGTCTGCCTGAGAAGGTAATGCTAGGCTGATCATCTTCAGGAAGTCATTCAAGACTTTTGCTGTGTGTTTCTTGTCTAAAATGTATTGAGCTTTCTGTATGCATACATATATATACAAATACACATATCTATGCATATATGTATATGTACATATATATAATGCTATGTATATACTTACCAACAGAGAAGTACCAATGCTTGTAAAGATTGCATAGTAAAATGTTAACCATGGAAAAGCATCACACATGCTTTTCTTTCCTTAGAAAGACTTGTCAGGAAGGAGAGTCTTGTGTTAGAAAGTCCACATATGTTTCATGAAGCAGTCACTGAGGGGTGGCAGTTACTTAAAAAGTAAACATAAGATTATAAATGATCTAGTCATTCCAAGTAACAGGTAGATACAAAAGGAATCAGAAGCAGGTAACCCTAAGTGCATCTGAATATCCAAGTTCATAGCACTATTCACAGTGGTAAAGAGGGAAACAGCACCAGTGCCCCTGGATGAGCAGAGAGGGAAATGCTTTGCAGTATGTGAACGAGTGTGATCCATCTCAAGGCCGCAGATGGACTCTAGGACAGGACACAGAGAATCGGGAGGGTATAGAAGGATAGCACTGAGTTCTTCGGATCATTGGAGCCTCCTAGACCCGCCCGGTCCACCCACGCAGACGGTAGGAAGGCGGACACCAGCCCATGCTGAGGGGGCTGGGGAATGGGTTGATGGGCACAGGGTGTGAGGTGCAGAGAAATTTCTGGACACAGAAAACAGTGACAGTCACACAGCAACATGAATGTGCTTCATGGTGCTTGGCGCACATGAAAGGCAGTTAAAATGTTAAATTTTATGTTACTTTATGTGTACATTAAATTTCATGGTTTGTTTTTTTTTTTTTTTTTTTTTTTTTTTTGGCTTTTTGAGACAGGGTCTCACTATGCAGTTCAGCTGGCCTTGAGCTCACTTTGTGGCCCAGGCTGGTCTCAAATTTGCAATGATCCACTTGCCTCAGCCTCCCAAGGGCTGGTATTACAGATGTGCGCCACCATGCCCAGCTATTTCATGTATATTTTGCCACAGTAAAAGAGTATAGGTGGGCATAGTGGCACACACGTATAATCCCAGTACTCGGGAGGCTGAGGCAGGAGGATTGCCATGAGCTTGAGGCCATAGGGAGTTCAAGGCCAGCCTGAATTACATAGTGAGAGCCTGCCTCAAAAAAAAAATATATTCATATGTTTACAGTTGGATGTACATTGACAAATGCCTCTCCAGGGCCTGGAGACAGAGCTCAGTGGTAAAGAGTGTGTTTAGCATGTGGAAAGTCCTGGGCTCAGTCCCCAGGACACACACACACACACACACACACACACACGTGCTTGTGCAGAGTTATACTGTTTTACTACCTTTCTAGGTTTCCTATAAAACCAAGTGTGAGCAAGTATTAAATGTGGATACTAGCTGGGTATAGAGTTGGATGCCTGTAATCTCAGGCCTCTGGGAGGCTGAGGCAGGGAGATCCCAAGTTTGAGTCCAGCCTGGGCAACTTAGCAACTTAGACCCTGACTCAAAATAAAAAATGTAAAAAGAGCTGGGGATGTAACTCAGTGTCTTGGTTACTTTTCTCTTGTTGCTGAGATAAAATATCTGACACCTAAACTGAAGAGGGAAAGGTTTATTTAGCTCACGGTTTGTGGAGATTTCAGCCTGCAATCTGCTGGCTCCGCGGCAGGGTGGCCTGGCACAGGGGCAACAGTTGGAGTTGGCAGAAGACAGCAAAGCAGCCAGAGCAAGAGCAGGAACGAGCCTCTTTTCCTCCCTCATGTGGTACGCAGGCTAAAGGCCCTTGGGTGGGTGCAGTGCCCACAGCATCTCCCTGCCCTCCTCTTCCACAGGCTCAAGATGTCTACAAATGGGGGACCCTGGCCCCCTGCTTAAATTTGTAAATTTCGCAACACAATGAACAACATCTTAGAGCAGTACGGGTGTGTCCTCTATGCCCCAGGATGGAGAGCTGCTGAGTTACTGACAAGCTTCTAGGCTTCTCAAGTTGATGCAGTCTATCAACCATGTCACTCGGCGTGAACACCCTAAATTTGATTTCCAGTAGGAACCCCCCCCCCGCAAAAGGGTGAATGCTGCATTAGGGGTGGGGTGCTGTCCCAGAGGAGCAAGAAATCTATATGAAAGGAAAAGAGAGGCGGGGGAGGGGCAGACTGGGGACTGCGGTATCCGGCTGGTCATCGTGCATGAAGAACCCCTGCTTTGTGTTGAGGACGCTTCTGACTGGTCACACAGGGCCCTCGTGCCTCGGGACTGTCTGTCGGAAGGAAAAGGAGACAGACACTACAAGCTGCTCCTCTCATTGGCCTAAGTATTCCAGTGGGTTCCCTCACTCTCATCCTCTCAATAGAGGGCAAGCAGGGGCCATACCCCAGGAGCATCTCCTGTGTCCAGAAGTGACCGGAAGACCCGCTCATTCCAGCTGGCCCTCGCCCCAGGGGCGGCCGAGATGACCTGCTCTGCCCGGAGATCAGGCCGCTCCCGTAGCATCCCAGCGTTGTGAGGAGAAGACCAAGACCTGCAAGGCTTTGGGGACAAACAAAACAATACAGTGCCCTGCCCACCTGACGGGAGGAGTCCCCTCTCTCTCCTTCCCGCCAGCACTGAGTAGCTGTCTCTCTATCTTGGCCAACCTAGGAAAGGGCATGGAATTCCATTTCTGTGTTTTTCATTGCACAGTGTTAACACATGTTAAATTATGGCCTGTATGTATGTCTTTTTTGAATCACTTCCTTAGCTATTTTTCTGTTAAGATATTCACTGTTTACCAGTGGGCAAAGCTTCACTATATGAGAGACACTTGTGCTGTGTCCTTTATGCATCAGGAGGACGAGGTCGCCTCAGGTGTCCCGAAAGCCAGGACTTGGCAGTGGAAACAATATGTTCTCCTGAGGCTTTGCACTCAGCAGAGTGGCTATGTGTCCAAGGGCATGGTCCCGCTCCTGGAAAAAGAAAACCATGACTGGGAGGCTTCAGCCAATACCTTCCATCACTGAGATGGAGGCTGGGGTCCCTGCCCCTTTGGCTTGGGAAACCACCCTGCAAGCCCTGGGACCCTGCTGAGCTTTCCCAGAGAGGGTCTCCAGTGAATGAGGGAAGAAACTGCAGTTCCCTGCTAACAAGACTGTCTTCTACAGCTTTTGTTTGACAGGGTCTCGCTATGCAGTTCAGGCTGGCCTTGAGCTCACCTTGTAACCCAGGCTGGTCTTGAATTTGCAATAATCCTCCTGCCTCAGTCTCCTGGGGTTACAGGCATGTGCCACCAGGCCCAGCTCTTCTAAAGTAATAATAATACAAAAGTGAAGTCTTAGGGGCTGGGGATTTAGCTCAGAGGCATAAGCATAAGCGTATGCCTTGCAAGTGTGCAGTCGTGAGTTCGATCCCTGGTACCGATAAAAACGAAAAAGACAAAAAAAAAAAAAAAAGTGAAGTCTTCCCCCACCCAAAGGCCAGGAAGACAAAGTTTGGAGGTATGTGAGATCATGAGGAAGAGATTGGAGAGAGGCGGGAAGGAGAAGGTCATCCTGGGGAGGGGGGTCTCAGCAGAAAGGCAGCATTGGGGCTGAAAGGGAAGGGTGGGTTCCTTCCATTCTGTCTTAAAGGAACAAAGGATTTCAAAAGGAGGAAGGATAGGAGGATACCGAGGGGGCAGTCCTCCTCGGAAATGTTAAGAGCACTTCTTCATTGTCTTCTGACTTCAACCGGCACTGATGGCCTTGCCCTTGGAGTGGCAGACACGTACTTCTCTGGTCCTGTGTCCTGTGTCATTTACTCGGTCACGTAAGCTCCAACTGCCTATGACTGGGCCACACACATGAGGCAAGCAAGGGGTTCTTTCCTCTTCCAGAAGAATTCAGAGGCAGCCAGTCAAGAGCTGGCGTGGAAGCTCTGGAAAGTCTTTGGGATCTCGGGCTGTCTGTGTCTTTCCTCACCTGAGGCTTCCTTCTCGAAGGACACCTCGGGCCCTGTACCATGGCTGGCGCTCCAACACATGTTCTGAGTTTCTGGCTAAAGTAAGTTGCAGAAAAACAGAAAAGCCCAGCTGTAGGTCGGCCCCTTGGTAAGTAGCTTTCCTAAAGGTCTCTTATGTGTACATCAAGGTCCAGGGGAGACCATGCCTGGCACAAAGGGAGTCTTTTGGTGGGGACATTTCCACTCTAAGCAAGATCAACACAAGACACATTCGAGTATCTGACATCCACCTTCTCGGTCCCTTCTCAAGGCCCCATCTTCAGGATTTCTGAAGGGCCTTCCACCTAAGGTTGGGTATCAGCAGTGACCTCTTTGACACCTTGCACGGGGCATCTGCGACTCACTGCCGGATGCATTTCACTGGATACCCCACTCCTGTCCACCCGCTAAGGCCCAATCCAGGGGTCCAGCACTGCAGCTCCATGGTGAGGCCTGACCTGACCGAAGCACGGTTTCCCAGTGCCTCTCTGTACCCACCCAGTGAACTGGGTCTTGGGTTTGTCCCTGGCGTATTTTTCCTCTCTACCTATTTTTCGTTGCGTGCATATGAACTCATTTCCCGCTACTCTAACAAAATCTTGCAAGCTGGATCATTGGTAGGAAGAGAGTTACTTAGCCTACAGTTTTGGAGGTCCAGGAGCACAGCACTGACATCTGCTGGTCCTCTTGGCTGTGTCACAGGAGGGCAGATGGTGCCATGGCAGGAGCGCGGTGACAGGGTGGGAGCAGATGAGACAGGAAACCAGAGGCCAGGAAGAGCAGCCTCTCCTAGGGCAGCAAACCCAAGATACTAGGGGAGTGACTACCCTCTCCAAAGACAGCGCCCACTGACCTATGAACCCCAGCAGAATTCAGAATTCACTGCTTAATGTTTCACCACCCCCCCGGGCCTGACCACAGCCCTGGGGAAGGACCAACCCCTTCCTTCCCTCTGCCGGGAGCCGTAGTAGGAACGTGGCACGAGTGAGCCACTCCGTGCAGGTCATGGTTTCTGGAACAGACCCATGGGGGCTGGGCTGGGCATTGCCAACCTTAACCTGTTCCTGTGCCTGGCAGAGGGAACCAGGCCCTGCCTGTTTCCCACACTGAGGAGCGAATGTCAGGTGTGCGTGTGGGTAGAGGGCAGAGGGTGTCGCCTGGAGCATGGCTCTCTGACCCAGCAGTCTGCCGTAAGAAGGCTGTTGTAGTTACCCAGCCCAGGACCTCCAGACCTCGTCTCCAGAGCGTGCTGGGGAAGCAACTCGGTTCTGCCATCAGGGCTGGAGAGAGAGAAGTGGGGAGGTGATACTGGGGTGTGACTGAGTCACGCTGTGCATGCTCTGCTCCAGAACCGGTGCAGGGCTGGGACGTCTGTCTGTCCTGACCAGACAGCATCAGCAAAGACGACTCCTCAGCCTCCTCTGCAGTGGCCTGGCCTTATCTTTTGATAAAAGCCACTGCAAAGCAGAGCAAACTCACCTTCTGATAAGGAGCCAGACAGCTGTTGCAACACCACAGCCAGGGCCTGGCCAGCTCTGGCTCCAGGAAGAGAAGGAGGAGGTGGGGAGGGAGAGGAGGCTCTGAGAGGCCCCTCGGGGCCCTGGAAGCTGAGTCCCCAACTCCTTCTCACAGTGCCTCAGCCCTTTGCTCACCACCGCTGTCTCTGAGATGTTTTGTCACTCAAAGATCAGTAGTCAGCTGAGCGCCATGGTTTAGGCTCCTAATCCTAAGATCTCAAATCAAGCCCAGAATGGGCAACTGTGCAACTCAAGAGAGACCTGCTCTCAAAATAAAAAATATAAAGGTGGTTGGGATGCAGCTCGGTGTAAAAGCCCTGGGTTCAATTCCCAGATCTGCTCCCAGTCCCAAATCAAGTCATGTAGCTATGGCCTCTGATCCCTGGGAGGGTGAGCATGTCAGAGCATTTGGCCTGGCAGTTGCCAGAGTCCCCGGAATCTCTCCTAGCTGAGGAGCTTGAGCTACTGGGGGTCACATCTAACCCTGCCACTTCCTATTACAAGAGGCTAAGTGAGTTCCTGTCTCTGACCTGCATTTCCGTATCTGTGAAAGGGACTCGTAATGCCTACACTGAACGTTGTCATCAATGTATAAGAGTCGGAAAGTTATTTTTACTATCATTTCAATATTAGGGTAGCTGTAGCTGCGTCTGTAATTCTCTGCGGCAGTACCTGTATCTACAGATGTAATGGCGGACAGACCGTGTCAGCTCGAGAAGGTTAGAAGTCTAACTAAAGCTCGGCAGTTCTGCACCCCAGGGTGCAGCCCCACAGCTCATTGCCTGGACACTGGAAAGGGAAGGTGAGGAAGGGCGGGCTGCTTCTGTTGTTCGGAGCAGCTCCAGGCCTCGACTGCAGCTTGGACGTGCTCTCCTGGCCTCCAGCGCTGCTTCTCTGGCTGCTGGTGCAGATCTTTCAGCCACCCAGGGCAGAATCTTTACCTTCTGTCCTAGACCCATGGCCTCCTGATGCGGACTTGCACGGACACTGCGGTGAGCCCCAGGCCTCGGCATGCAGACCCCCTCGGCAGACCTCCTCTGACTCTGTCTGACCACACACTGTAAGCCACTCTTGTGATTTCTTATGCATTGTATATGTTGGGTCATATTATTTCCCTAGTAAAACAGGGACTGATATAACAGCTCCACCCACATGAATCTACCTATGGAAAACTTGGGGCCACAGAGAACTGCTCTGTTGTTTTCCTTCAAACAATTCCCCTGCTTGGGCGATCCTAATCCTCTACCTGTGTACCCAGCTTGGGCTGGAATGTGACTTTTTTGCCTCAGCGATGCACTGTTTGCAGGTCTTTTCTCTCCCTAGGCCTGAGAGTCTTGATCTAGATGTGAGCACGACAGTCATGCCTGCTTCATTAGTCTGCGGTCCTAGCACACAGGAAGCATTTAGGGCTATGCGGAGCTCTGTGGGAATCAGTGCTGATATAATGACGGCGATGCACCTTCCCCCTGCTTCTGAGAACCCAGGACTAGGCACTCGAGGAAGATGCTGCTCCCAGCTGAGACACTGAACCCCACTGTCTCCTCAGAGTTGTCACTTTCGGTTCCCATACAAACCCCCATTCATCCACATAGCCACACACCGCCGGGGGGCTGAGTCAGCATCACAGTGCCTAGGACACGATGTTTGTCAGCTTTCTGTGACTGTAACAGATGCATGAGATACTTTACAGAGAGGAAAAGTCCATCTCAACTCGCAGCTGTGTAGGGTCCAATTCACAGCCTATTGGCTCCACTGCCTTGGGACTCTGGAGGAAGACAGCACAGCACATGGCAGAGGAAAGCTCCTTATGTCACCGGGATGGAAGTGAAATGGAGGAAAGACCCTATCTCTGGTCACAAAGGCCACTCCCCCGAGACCTGGGGACCTTCTGCGAGGTCTCAGCCCTTACAGGTTTCACCACCTTCTACCACCTGGGAGTAAGCCTTTAGTACCCAGTATATGGGGAACATTCCAGATCTAAGCCAGGGAAGACTGTGAAAGGGTCTCCTCTGTATCTATCACCCTGCTCACTTTCAGGCTGTGAGCTCTGGCTTGGGAGCCCCAGTATCCCACATCCTGGAAAAGGCCTCCTAACCCTGTGACACGTACTTACTGATGCTTGATAGGGATGAGCTCAGTAGGGATGAGCACAGTCTCTTTCTGCTCAGTAGCTCTTCAGCTGCGGTGCAAACCCGAGAAGCCACATGTTTGTCCTCTGGCTGATTCACTCTTTAGCAATGTGAGTGGAAATTGGAGGAAAGGTCACCTCGGCTGGGCCCCAGCAAACTAGGACACCACGTTACAAAAGAATGTGGCTCCTCAGCCATCTACTTTGCTCCAAGAGTTTGCACAGGATCCAGGTAAGGTGAGAGGGGAAGGAAGAGCCAAGTTGATGCTGGAAGCTGTCGAGGCTGGGCTCTTCTGAGGTGCCTAGAGCTCCTCACTACAGCGTAGGCCTGCAGGCCAAGTGACCAGCTGAATGTGCAGGGCGGAGGGCAGGAGGAGAGCTGTGAAGTCACATGGTTATTTCCTCACCCACTTCCCTGCACAGTGGGGCACCAGCTCGCCCACAGCCTCCTTCAGCCTGCTGCTGTGCTAAGGGCTGCTCCCCATTTCTCTTTCATCATGAACCATGGCCAGGTTAGACCTGGACACACAGCAACCTCCGCCGACCAGACCCAGAAGGAAGAATTTGTGTTATTGCTGGGGAGTTGAGAGGTTGTGTGAGAGTCTGTGGAACATCCATCATCCCAGGGCCCCGGTGGTGAGTGAAAGCTTTACTGGGTGACATTGCTGGGGCTGAAGACCACTTGTTTCTGCCACCTAAGAAGCTCGCCCTGCAGGATTTCCCATCCAGGTTCACCTCTTCCACACAGACCGAGTTACCCTGGTCTCTTATGGATTAAAAATTGGTGGTCAACTTAATGCCAGCTGAGTTAAATCAGCGTGGTGCTGAACAGAGATGTTCCACCTGAGGAAAGTTGCCAGCATAAATAGAGACATGGAGAAGAGTAAGGCATTGTGGGTTCTCCTAAGTGTTGCTGTTTGAGCTGTTGGTTCTCCTGGAGGAGGTTGTCATAACTAGCTTCCCCAGTGTGAGTTCGACCATCGTCATTAGAGGAGTCTGGGACCTTGTTGGCGAAGGTGGCAGTGATTCACTTTGGGGGAGCTCTGGTCCTTACTCTGAGCATCATTTCCTGGCTCCAGAGGGGAAGGTGTGTGCTGTTTAATCTCCAGGACAAACTCACCATGGTGGCTTCCTGGCATGTACTCGACTGTTTTTATTATCAGAGGAGCTTGGGACCTCTGTGTCACTGAGAATGGCCATGGTGCTTTTCAGGGCAGCCCTGGACCTTATTATGTGTGTGACTTCTCGGCTCCAGTGTAGAACCCTCAACCTACCAGCACAACTCCTTCACCCCACTGGCATGGACTTTCCAGCTTCCACCGCTGACCTTTGGGCCTTCCCAGTGCATATCTGTAAAACAGACTGATGTGAGTCCTTCAGTGGGTTCTGACCCTCTAGCTGGACTCGTGGGAGGCACTGTCATGGGCTCTAGGTCTTCATCTGGACTCATGCAGGACAGTGCTGTGGGATCCAGGCCCTTGGCTGAATATTCTGGGTCTTTAGTGTTGTGCACAGATTTACTGCACTTCCTGTGTTTAGCTCTGGGTGACTATCATAAAATAATGTTATAAATTCTGTGTCCTGATTCTTACTGTTCTCACAGCCCCTGACTGCAACAGTCTCCTTTGGCTCACAGCAGCCTCTGCAGTTTTAGGTCAGCAGAACCGGAACTTTCACCCAAGCCCACTAGATGGCGCTGCGGGCCCACACAGCCTGAGAACCAGGTCTTGCAGCACAATTTCCCTCCAGGCCTGTCCTGTCCTGTCCTGTCCTGTGCATATGCGAATTCCCATTGGGATCAGAAAGCCAAATTCTCTGTGCACCCCCGGAGCACCCAGCCTCCACAGCTGAGAAAGGCTATGTTCTTTGGTCTCGAACCCACATGACATGGCCACTTCAGGCTGGACAACCCTGCTTCCCCGACCTCCAATGGACCTGCTACTTCTACTAGACGGGACAGTCTGGGTTTAGGGGACAGGCTGAGAACACAGCCACCCTCTGGGACAGCCCTGTCATCTGAGGAGTCCCAGCCCCAAGGCACAGTTGAAAAGGGCCCCATGATCTTAGCAGCTTTGCACTGAGGTGGGGTGGGACAGGTCCCTGTCCCTGCAGGGGTGCAGGGGGCGATTGCAGAGCTGGGTTCCAAGGGCTGGGAGGTGTGCGGGAGATAAAGGAGACCTCAGAGGCCCGTGGCTGGGGGAAGCCTTGCAGCTGGTGCTGGGCTGATAGGAGACTGACCACTGAGAGCCGGAAAGGGGGCCAGGGCGGCCCTGAGACCCTGCTGTCCTCAGAGGCTGAGATGGGACACAAAGCGAGGAGGAGTTGGCAAAGGCACTCCAGGTCACACACGCAGTGTCCTTCCCCAGGGTACGAGGTCCCGGCCAGGCCTCGGTGTGGGTCCTCACAAATAGGGTCCTTGCAGACTTTAAGGACCACGAGGTCATTGAGGTATGGCTGGGCCTCCAGTCCAGTGTGACACGGGTACCTATGGGAGAAGACTAGAGGCAGGGGGAGATCAAATAGGTCAGAGGGGAGCTTAGGAGTGAGCACAGGTGCACCCAGCAGTGCCAAGGGCCATGGCGAACACCAGAAGCGGGAGAAGTGAGCGCAGCGCCTGCTGTGGGGCCCAGCGGAGGGGGCCCTGAGCAAGCCCCCAGGACTCTGGCCCCCAGAGCAGTGGGTGATCAGCTGCTGCTTCGGTTTGTCCTGGGTGCTGGGGATGGAACCCAGGTCCTCCTTCTTGAGGCCCATCTCTGCCCCCTTGCAGCAACCCAGCTGCTCCACTCACTTTGACTGGGGTACCAGGCTGCCACACCGGGGGCCTTGGACCATGCCAAGGCTGGGAGCTGTGTTTAACATCAAGCCCTCTCTGGCCTCTATCACTGACATTTACTAAGTTAGCTTATTCACTTATCCCAAGCTCCTACAGTTTGGATATGGCTTGAGTGCGTCCCCCAAAGGAGCGTGTGCTGCAAGCCTGGCCCCCAGTTTGGTGGTGTGGACGGGTGGTTGGTCCTAAGAGGCAGGGCCCAGTGCTGGGTGTTCAGATCACTGAGTCTGCTGTTTTGGGACCCAGCTCAAGGACCCTCCGTGGAGGCTGAATCCATGGAGCCTAGACTTTCAGCCTCCAAATCTAGGTGCTAAATAAACCCGTTTTCTTTATAAAGTACTCAGCCTTCCTGTTATGTTAGAACAGCAGAAAGCTAGCTAATATACAGGGATTTAGAAGAAGTAGAAGGGACAGCGACCTCAAGCACTAGCATAAGGGATATTTTTATAGTAATTAAATCAGAGGGTGTGTGATTTGGGTAACTCCAGCTCCCCCAGTTAGAGGCTGGGTAACCCTGAGCAAGTTACATGGTGGCTGTGACTCTGTCCTCAGCTGCAGGATGCTGTCTGTCACCCTGGGTTGTGAGAAGTGACACCCACAGGAGATCAGGTGTCAAAGAGGAGCCTGGCAGAGAATAGGGCTTAGTATCAGGCCGTGGTCATAGGCAGTGAGAGTTTTATCTTTATTTCCCTGTGTTTGCTGTGGCCAGTGATGTCAGAGGGAAAGGAGTTTGCATTCTGCAACTTTTCTGTGTGAAGAATTTCCCCCAGATCATAATAAAGCATGAGTTTCATGAATTCCTTAGTGTGCATCCTATTGTCTGGGAAGTCCAAGTGAGGCATAAACACTATGAAGAGTGGATGATCTCAACCCGAGTCCCAGAGAGGGGCCCGTAGCCCCCAGCAGACCTCGCAGAGTGTGGCCCAGAAACGGCTCTGTGATGCTTGCCTGCTGTTCACTCCACCTCCTTTTGGACAGGAAAGACAGGAAGCAAAGGGGGGTGAAGACGGTTTTCTAGGCAGTCAGGGCGGGGGGTCGTCCTAAGAGACTGGGTCCCCCAGCCGGGTGTCTCCCGAGGGACGAAGCACCTAGGTCTGAGCCCAGAGGAGAGAGCAGAGTGACAGGAAGGGCTTCCAGGGAGCGGCAGAGCCCCGCCCCAGTCCCTCCTCACAGGACGCCTGCCGCAGGGGGGACAGTCACTCCAGATGCTGACTCTGTGTTTCTGCACATCTTGCCTGTCCCCGAGAGGCCAGATGGGGCCTGCCATGTGCCAACCTGGGCCAGGCCGGGGCTGCAGGAAGTTGTGAGCTAGAGGGCCTGGAACAGAGACCCTGTGGCCCTCCAAAGCCACCTCCCAGGGCTGGGGACAGAGATCACTGGGACAGCCTGGCATGGGCGGAGGACTTTTCCTGTCCCTAACAAGGTCAGTTCATCCAACCAGCTCAGCTGTGCATTTTCTCCCCGCTAACTTTATCATCTCCATTTTTTTTTTTTTTTTTTTTTTTTGAGAGCTGGTGTTTTAAACGACCCTAATGACACAGAATCCATCTTAATTATTACCTTTCCTCTCAGGGCACAGAATTGTCTATGACAGAATTTTCTAAATTTCTTAATTAACCTGCAATGACTTTATTTTGCCAAAGGATGTGCTCGGAAACCACTATAAGAAATTCTTTGTCTGCCACTGCAGAGTGGTTAAAAATTAAAATTACGAAAAGCACAGAAAACTCTCCGTTATAAAGCAGGAAACCCTGGGAGAGGAAGAGATCTGACTAGGAAAGGTCAGAAAGCCGGAGGGCACAGGCAGCACTGCAGGCAGCAGGAAAGTTGGGGCGCTGAGGCCCCCTGCATCCTTCCCCCACCGCTTCCACAGGAGGGGTGCTGGGTACATCGCACTTCCCGAGTCCGCCTCGGAGCTAATTTCTGATGATGAGATTTCATAAACAAGTTCTGATTCACACACATGCAGCCCTTTACAATCCACTTCATCTTCCTAAGACTGCGGTTCCTCCTTCCTCCAGGCGGGGATCACATCTGGGGTTAATAAACAGAATGAAGCAACTGGGAGGAAGGCACACGGCCCCTCCAACTCGGGCGGGGAAACTGAGGCACCTGTAGGCGCTCTTATTTGGGTCTCTTCTGAGGCCTTCGAGGGTGCGGGCCACATACTCTGGGGCTCAGTCTGTTTCTACCAGGTTGGCACGGCCAAGGCCCCTGTCTGCAGGGACTGGGGCTTCCTCTCTGTACTTGTGCTCTGCTACCCACGGTGGGGGGGGGCTTTCTGGGGGCTCCCCCAAGGAAGTGCACTGAGGCAGTGGGTGGAGCACCTCAGCTGCCCTCAGGGTGCCCTCTCTAGGGAGGGACCTGGGGGTGGAGGCTCGCTGGGCTGGGGATGGAGTTGGGATGACCTGAACTCTTCAGTCAACCTCTACATACCCCACACCAGGCCTGGGCCTCTTTCTGCCCGCAAGGCCCCAACATGACATCTCCCATCTCCCTCCTGGGCCTGACAGTCCTGGGTTCCTGCGTGGGAAGCCACCACCGTCATGGCAAGGGGGACCTGGATACCACTCAGGCTTTCTGGAGCTGTTCCCCGAGGGCGTAGGGTGGCTGCAGGGTCCCACCCTTCCCTCTCTCTGTCACCTCTGTCTGGAGTGTCCTGGCAAAGGCAGTGCGGAGCTCCCTTCCATCTGCTTCTCTCTGGATATCTCTGCTGTCTCCCTGCGGACCAGCGTACACCTCTTCCTGCCCTGTCACCATGGTGATAGACAAGGAGACCAGGACACAAGGACTCCTGTGACCAGGGTTACACACTCAGGGAGCCCATATGTACAGACAGGGGTGTGGCTGGGCTTTGGGGTCACAAAGAGGCATCAGCTCTGGTTCTCCGGGGCACAGGGAGTATGGAGGAGGGTAAGAGTCCAAGAGGCTCCCGGATGGGCGCCCGGATTGTTTGGAACCCATGAGTGGTCCAGGGCTGATGGACACAAGGGGCAGCCGGGTGCCGGGTACTTTGGTGTCTGGTTGCAATGGCCGGGAGAGCATCTTAGAGGTCAATACCTCCAGCTGTGAAGGAGAGGGCAGCTCAGGAGTGTGGCCCGGGTGAACCCCCAGACAGCTCCACGTTGTCACCTTACCTCCTAGTCCAGCCGATGGTGATGTGCGCCTGTGTGTGTGTGTGTGTGCTTGTGTGAGACAGCTGAGCTTCTGCCACTGAAGATCCACTCTTGGAGACTGACATGGGGACGGAGAGGCAGCAGCTTGGGCAGGAGCCCTCGGGGTATTCACGGGGTCCCTACCACTCCACAGCAAGACAGCCATGGCTTTGGGAAGTGGGGACAGTGACCACTCACCAGAATCCAGTCCCTGGGCGTTTCTGGACTGGACAGGTTGAGGCTCCAAGAGGGGGTGAGAAGTGAACTGGGAAGGAGGCTGGAGAGACCCACAGCTGCAGGGCCCCAGCTGGTCTTACTTGTTTAGATAAGGTGGCCTTTTATGCTTATGAAAACAGGATTAGAGCAGACAGATCAGCAGAGATAAGAAAACAGGGTGGAGCTGTCTGGCTATGACAGAGACAGTGGGGACAGCACCTCTGCCCAGCAAGCCCTGCAGTCACAGAGGGCCACAGCCACTGGGCGGCGCTGACACCGCATTGTGCGGCTGCTAAACTAGCTCAGGGGTCAATGTGTTTTGACTTAAGGACATTTTCAATTTAACGTGCTTTGTTGAGTTATAATCCCAT